TCCAGGGTGATCCAGAGTGTGAACAGTGAGTGGTTTGAGGCGCACAGTCGCCATAGCCAGTGGAAGCGAACTGTTTACTTGGGAGCCATATCTCTAAGTTTTGTGTGGGCGCATGGCGCCAATTTGTTGTTCGGCTGTTCACGTGCATGAAAAGTGTGAATAAGTCGAGTCTGATTGCAACACATCTATTATCAGCCTACTAATTGACAATACAACTGTTGACATCAGCGGCAACCCGAAGTACTTAGCATGCGAGTGCCTGAATGAGGTTGAGAGTGGCGAGCTCTTTCCTGTAAGGTAAGAGCCTGCCTGCTTCGCAACCTGGCTGGACTTGGCCTGGCCCAGAAGCTTCCAGCAAGCCCCCGGATGCTGCGTGCTACTTTGCAGCTACTGGGCCTCTTTCGGTTGGGCCTCCCAACTATCAGTGTATGAGGCTGCGTTTCTCATCCACGACCTGCATGCTTCGGAGAGGCCTAGAAGGCCGTGGAAATGTCTTGGTTGCTCGGCCTGTGTTTCACCCAACTAACTGGCGTGTCGCAACTGCCTGGACCCCAAATGTGAAATTGACAGTCAAAGGCCTCTTGTGATAAGTTAGGCCCGCCTTCACTTAGGGCGGGCACCACTGCAACCGGGGCCCCTTAGGCCTGCCAGGGACCCAGATCCTCGCATTCCCTCCTCCTTTACTTCGTTAGTCCTCTGAGAAGTCTCTTATTCTGGGGGCATCTTCCCTCTCTGTTCTCTTTCATACCCCGCAATCACTTGAGGTGTTGTTCTCAGGAGTTCTTCTCGTGTGAACCAGCGATCTTCCTTGGGATCCAGATGATGTTTGAATCTCACACGATACTGCATTCTCGGTTTAGGAGGGCGCCCTCTGCCTGATGGTCGAGGAACAGGCATCACTCGATGCTCCACGATCTGGTCGACGTCCACCTCACCATCCATGGTTGGGGGCAGCATTGATCTCCTTGAGGGAAACCGGTCAGTGGCAGCGAAAGGTGCCAACTTAGAGGCATGGAACACAGGGTAAGTGCGTAAGTGCGCAGGAATACGAATCACGTATGAAGGCCCATCCGTTGATCCCCTACAATGCCCAAGATCTCCCAGGGCCCAAAGTACTGTGGCATCAATTTTTGTGAAATCCCCATCTCCTGACCCAGTTCAGATGACTTTCCCTAGACTCTATCACCTACCTGAAAGTTAGAGGGCCGTCTGTGTTTATTCTCGGATGTGATCATAACCTCATGAGACTTCCTAATGTGTTCAACGGCCTGCTGCAGCATCTGTTCATCTTTATGTGATATCCCGTCCAAACACGGACTGAAACACACAACTGATTTCTGAGTTTTGCTCATAGACTGAATGCCCTACTGAGTTCCCTCCTGCTAAGTATGTGTGTCTGTGTGTGTGCTTGCTGGACTGCATGTCTGCCTGAGTGCTGGTTGGCTTGCGTGTGTGTGACTGTGCCTGTCTGAGTGCTGGTTGGTATGAGTGTGTGTGTGGCCCGCCAGGGCACTTGTTCGTTCGTTGGGCCCTCAGGGCCGATACTTACCTGTGGCCGTGGCTTCGAAGGGTTGCAGCAGGGAAAAAGCACTCAAGTAGCAGGTAGGCCGGTACCGCACCCGACAGGGGGGTAAATATGCAGGTACCGAAGGCCGAGCAGAAGAAGACAAAAGTGGCATTTTTAGAGGCCGGTAGCGTAGGCTAGGTCTAGCGGGTACCAGTTTGAGTCTAGGGCTTGTAGGGGCAATATCAGAGTCTACAATGATGTTCCCTCCAAAAAGAGGAGGAGGTACCGGTTGCTTGGGAAGGCCAACGGCCTGGAAGTCACCGCCCAAGAGGCAAAGCAGGCCGCTATATCTTCCGGCCGGGTGGAAGACCCAGCCTCTTTTTCGGTGTGCAAATTTGGCGACACACTAGTGGAGCGCTGGAGGGAGCAGCGCTGGGTTGGAGCTGCGCTGCTGGGGAGGAAGAAGAAGGACAAGAGGGAGGAAAGAGGAGGAAGAAGGAAGGAAGGGGGAGGAGCGCCAGGGGTACTTACCTGGCTATGGTGGCAGCCATCTTCATCAACTTGGTGGGCGCTGCAGCAAGGAGTCCCCAGTCGGGGAGAGCCACACCAAGAAGCTTCAGGGCAGGGTTGGGCATGGCGGCCTAAGTCCGAGCAGCCAAAGCTGCTTTGAGTTGTCCTTTGGGCATCGGAGCAAGGCCTAGTAGTCTGCCATAGCCTCGGCCTATGAGAGTGAAGTGTGGGAGAGGCGGCCATGGCTATGGTGGACCTTGAGTGATACCTGCAGTAGAAAAGGGACTCGGACATGATTCTGGCCCAGTCATTCAACATTGTATTATTATTTCTTGTATGAATAAGAGAAGGGGGAGATAAGGAGGAGGAGATTGTTGGGCGAAGAAGAAGAGCCTTCTCATTGTCTTTGCTGGTATACATCTTCTTCTTCTTCTCTCTTACTTCTTCTTCTTCTTCTACTCCTCTCTCACCTCTCAAGTTCATTCATTTCTTTCTGCAATTGGATGGCATTGTACTTTCCAGTGGATGTGTATCTCGCAATTGGCCAGGGTCATAACATTGGTATCAGAGCGGATTCTACTTGCTGGTGAGAGTTGACTTTGCTACCCTAACCCTAACCTAAGTGGTTGAGGGCAACACTTAGGGTTAGCGTCGGTTGGTTGAGGGAAGTGGGGCAGCGTGGCTAGGGGAAGCTGCCCCCACCTGGTTAGGTCATGTGGGGTCAACATAGAACCTAACCAGGTTGCTTGAGAGTGAGATTGGGGTGGCGAGACATTTTGAGGAGACTTCATGCAGCGATTTGAGAGAGGCGACAGTGAGAGGCACTCGCACCTGAAATCTGAATCAAGGGAGACACTTGGCAACTTAAGGGCTGCCCTCAAGTAGGCGAGCTTGAGGGTCAGCGGCCATTCTGCATCAACGGACTGCAAGTTGCTACTTTGTTCTTCAGCATCGACAGGGGATCCCGTGGTGCACTTGGGTGTTTGAGTCAGACCCTCCTAGGAGATAGGACACTAGTGTAGGGGTAGCGTTAGATGGGTCAGGAGGACCATATGAGAAGGGGGGTGAGTTCTCTTCATCTCGAAGCTCAAGGCCACTCAGGTAAGTGTCGTGCGCCTACGGGATGCCCATGTATGTGTGTATGGTATTGATTGTCCTGCTGGGGTACTCTGGGTTTCTTTTCCTACTTCTTTGTGGCCTTGATTGTGTGACTGAATGCATGTGATCTGCCTACTCACCTGATGGATGGAAAATGAAGTATCTTGTTATATGTCGGGTCTTTCTACAGTGCTTTGTCTTTTCATCACTGAACGGTTGCAGTCCGTAGGTTCTGCCAGAAGTTGAAATTTCGTTTTTCAGTGCAGTAGAGACTGAACTAAGTCCAGGTGGGACTCCTCTTGGTTGGGACCTGGTTGAGACCTACGTGGGACCCTTGGGACCAAGCGGGCCCCTTGGGACCCAGCGGGACCAGGCCCAAACAAGGAGAGCCTCTGGACCCAAATCGGTTAGGCATTGACCTCTTGTCTCCTTGGCTGGGATACGAGTTCATTCTTCTTGGATTAGGACACCCACTGTCGAGGGGATCTTGGCTTTGACGTTTCGCATGTCTGCTGATTGCACTGTCCGTGGCTTGACTCCCACCCTGTACACCACTCAATTCTCCATTGTGGCATGTAGTTACTCGTTGTCCGATTTGCGGTACGGACACGGAGCTGGTCAGACTCGACTTGAGAGGACCTCGTATGCAGTCTGATCAGACTGGGTCGCTGGATCAGACCTCTCATTGAGATTGTTTGTTTCTTCTGCTGCTCTCTACTTCCAAATGAAATGTCGCTCCAACTAGGAGTTCTACCTTCTCTTCTCTAAGCTTTATATGTTTTTCTGAGTTCATTTCCGATGCCCATGGAGACTCGCAATCTGAAAGAAGAGAGAGAGAGAAGGGAGAGAGAACAGGGAGAGAGGGAAAGTGATTGTCTGAGGTGGGCAAGGACCGGGAAAAGGAGTGTTCGTCCAAGCGTGAGGGGGAGTGAATCTCTTGAAAGTCTGATTGATTCTTTTGCTGATTGGCGACTCTTTGACCCACGTGTCCATACTGACAGTCTGAAAATGGCCCAACTAACTTCATTGCAATGGCAGGCCTTGTTAGATGCAGCCAGTGATGCTGAGAAACCTCATCTGCAGGCACTCTTAGATGGTGCAATAAAACGGGAACAGGAGTCAGAGAAGGAGAGGAAGGAGACCTTGCTGAGAAGGCAAGTAGCTCTCCTAGAGACTGTCCCCTCACTGACTGAAGAGCAGTGCAGGGAACAGCTGCAGTCCATCCTCACAGCCTTTGTTCAGATTAGGAATCTTGAGGACCATACCACTCAGATCGTTGACGTCTTTGCAAAGCTGCAGACTCTTCAGGATGATCTGACTGATATGACCCGCAAGCCCAAGTGAACCCTCTTCCTCTACCTCCTGGATCTGAAGCTGCAATCGGAACTACCTCTGCCCCTCTTACTGTATCTTCTTCTACCTCTTCTTCGAGTGTGATGGCAACCCCCTCGGGACTTGCAGCAGGTGCAGATTCCACTGTCGCTGTAACAAGCAATAAGGCTGGAACTTCTACAACTGCTGCATACCCAAGACCGGAGTCAGCTGCTGCTGGTCCCAGCTACGCCAGTCCCTACGTGGACCGGAAGGCGGTACAAATGTCGTCTAAGTACGACAGCAAGGAAGACATCGAGTCCTGGATAGCACGGCAGGCAACAAAAAGCCCATGGACGGCAAACGGTTCAAGGGCAGCAACCGTTTTGCTGTGCATGACCTGCTGGAGGGCGAAGAAGAAGCCGATGCGGATGACCCCACTCTTGGTGACGACCAAGAACAGGACTCCGATACAGCTTGTTCTTCAGCCCATGAGTCCGACGCAAATAAAGAAGAAGAAAAATTTTATGCCTTTAAAAAGACTGCCAGCACTAAGGGACCGAATCGGAGTGCCGGGAAAAGTTATGTCCAACTTCCCAAAGGAGTTAAGATCCCGCCTAAACCGGAGGACGCAACTACCAAACCTTGGGTTGACCTCCGGATCACTCAAAATAACTGGCGGGGCAGACTCAAGAAAGGGGTTTGCCTGCATTGCCAAAACCCCAATCATAAGGTTCAGGACTGTTATATGCTGCAGGGAAACCAGAATCGGGCGTAAAGCCAGACTCAACAAACTCTACAGCAAGGAGTCCGGTTCTGTTGAGGATCAGCAGCCCTCGCTTGAAGCCCAACCATCTGCTGAAGACAAGGCTGAGGTAAGTAATGTCTTGTATGTCGAGCCTTGGGAGGAGTCTGAGATGGTTGACTTCCACTACCACTTGGAGCATTGGGCTGAGATGAAACAGCAGCATGCCCAAGGGACAGTGAAGTTGATCTTCTTTAAACTTCTCATAAACCATCGCTATCTCCGTGTGCTGGTTGACTGTGGTGCTACAGCTAATTTCATGTCACTGCATGGGATACGCAAGGTGGGTTTGGGGATGAAGCAAGTGCCCCTGCAGAACCCTTGCCGGACCCAAGTTGGCAACAAGGAAGTTGTCTCTTCTACGCATGCAGTCAAAGGTGTGCGCACTACCTTTGGCAAAGGTAAGACTGTCACCCACGCATTGAACTTCTTTGTCCTTGACAAGTGCCCCTTCGACGTTGTCCTCGGCTTGGGCTGGCTGCAGTCCCAATGTGAATGGACCAAGTGGAAGGAATCACTCTTCATGGTCAAAGATGCTCAGGGGAACGAGCTTCCTGTCCTCTTGGATGAGAAGCACGAATCCCCAATGAATTTTGTAAATGCTATGCAGTTCTGCAAGAAATGGCGCAAGCGCAAGAAGGAAGAACAGTTGTATGTTGCCTTTGTTCGTCCTGCTCATGTGCCTTCTACTTTTGCGGCTAGTACCACTACTACTTTGATTAATGATCCTACTTCTAGTACTACTACTATCACCTCTACCTCTCTACCCTCTAATAGTCCAAATGATCCTACTTCAGATTCGGTCGTCTCTATAAGCGACTTGCGACCGGACTTTGGTGATCCCTTTGCTGATTCCCCACCCCCACCTGTCCCATCAGACATCCAAGCCCTCCTCGATCGGTTCCAGAAATCTTGGCCGAACCACGTGGAGTCCCCACGCGACCGGTTCGACACACCATCGAGTTGGTCAAGGGTGCGGTTCCTCCAAAGGGCTGCGTGTACCGCATGGGACCCGGGGAGTTGGAGGAACTCCGGCGACAGATCGATGAGATGATTGACAAAGGTTGGATCAAATCATCAAACCAAGTGAATCTGAATTTGGTGCTCCCCTGTTGTTTGTGTCAAAGAAAGGAGGCAAACTCCGCATGTGTATTGACTATCGCGGTCTAAACCGCATCACAAGAAAGAATGCTTACCCATTGCCCCGTATAGATGACTTGCTTGATGCCGCAGGCGGGTGCAAGGTCTTCTCCAAGATCGATCTCAAGTCTGGTTACCACCAGATTGAAGTCGATCCGGCGGACCAGCACAAGACTGCGTTCAAAACGCGGGACGGGCTTTATGAGTTCACCGTAATGCCCTTCGGTCTCACGAACGCACCAGCCACGTTCCAAAGCCTCGTGGACAAGGTCCTCCGCGAACAGATTGGCCGGTTTGTGGTAGTGTACCTAGCTGATATTCTGATCTTCAGCAAGTCCATCGAGGAACACCTCAAGTATCTTGAGGAGGTGCTCGCTATCCTCAAGAAGACGCAGCTCCATCTCAACTTGGAGAAATCTGAGTGTGGGAAGGATAGCGTCATCTATCTTCGGCACCGGTTGTCTGCTGCAGGCCTAGAGCCTGAGGCAACTAAGATTGAGGTCATACGTGATTGGCCTCAGCTTGCGAACATTCGCGAATTGCGTTCTTTCCTTGGTCTCGCGTCATGCTATCAGAAGTTTGTACCCTGTTTTTCTATCATCGCTCGTCCGTTGTCGCGACTAACCAGTAAAAATGTGTCTTATTCCTGGGATGCCGCGTGTACGGAAGCTTTTCGAACGCTCAAGGAAGCCTTGGTAAGTTACCCGGTACTCCACATTGCAAATCGAAAAATGACTCGTAGTTACTACGGATGCAAGTCAGTATGGAATCGGTGCAGTGCTGCAACAAGCTGACGGCGATGGCCTGCGGCCACTCGAGTACTACAACAAACGAATGCCCAGCGTAAAGGTAGCCACTTCCACCTACATGCGCGAGCTCTACGCTTTGCGTATGGCGTTGGATCACTCGAAACATTACCTTTTGGGACGCCACTTCAAAGTCTTCTCAGATCATGAGACCTTGAAGTGGATCAAACAGCAGATTACTCTGTCCCCTACTTTGCTTCGTTGGTTCCATGAGATTGACATTTGTTATTTTGAATTAAGACACAAAAAGGGTTGTTATAATCGAGTCGCTGACGCATTGACTCGCCACCCTGAGTACATGGCTTGCCTTGTGAAATCCTACGACCTCCGGAAGAAACTGAAGGAGGAGCTCGTAGAAGAGACAGCCAAGGATCCGAAACTTAGCTCCATCCTTGAGCAGCTGCGGGCTGATCCTAGT